TAGGATTCAGCTGATAAAAAAAAAATAGCAATCATGGTGACTTTCCTGAACTTTATTGCCAATTTTGCACAGAACAAATAAATATTTATGAAACATATAAAGTCAGGAAAATCTGTAATGGAATGGACTCTGTAATGTATAACCAAACTCTAATGGTGATATTCTTTGTTTGTGGATAAAATTAAATTTTATGCTTCTATGAAGAAAAAGTTAAGTGCTTAGAACTTTTTCAAAGTGAAATAAGAAGCCCTTCGAGAGTTTTCAGCAGAGAGATATGGTATGATTTAATTTTCATTAAAAAAATCAATCTGGATGCTATGTAAATAATCAAAGGATATGAATATTAACCATATAAATAAGTATAAATATACATATTCTCCAAATATTTTGTAACTTGAACTTTTTGGAAATAAGAAAACTAATTAGAAAATTGGTACATTAGTTGAGATTTTAAAAACATAAATATGGTGGGTTCGATTTGGGTAGTAACAGTGGAAAAAGAAATAAATGGATACATTTGGGATAAGATGTTGTACAAATGATGTACAAATCCTGGACAAATCCTGATGGCTTGAATGAGGAATGTTAAAGGGTCACGGATGACATGTTCGTATCTGATTTGAGCTGAATAAATGGTGATGCTGCTGAGACTGGAAAGATTCAGAGGAGAAAAGAATTGGAGAAAGCAGAGGACATAAAGAACTCTGTTGGGTACATGGTAAGTTTGAGATTCCAATTAGACATCCAAGAAGATATGTCTATTTGGCAGTTGAGTATTTAAGCCAGGACTTCTGAGCTTATGAAATTATGAATTTTAGAACAGAAGATTTTATACATACATAAAATTTTCCATATAGAAGATTTTAAAGCAATGGACATAAATTTTCTAACGAGAGTTGATGAAGAAGCAAAAGAAACCTGAAGATGTCAAAGATTAGAGACTGAGCAAGGGAAGATCCAGCAACAGCATCTAAGAAGGGACTGTTAATAGAGCAGGATGATGACCAGGGGAGTGTGGCTCTGAGGAATTGAGGAAGGAACACATGCAAGAGGAACAGTGAGTCAAATTCTGAGATGATAGCAGATAAGTGACTCTTCGCTTTAGCAATCTGGGTGTCAGTAATAACCTGGGTGTCAGTGATAATCTGGGTGTCAGTGATAACCACCTGATACATCCTGGTGGAATGTATGGGAATATTGACCTGCTTGTAGTGGGCTTCAGAAAAGATGTGAGGAAAGAAAAGAGGAGTCAGAAAATATAGATGAATTCTTCAAGATGTGCTGCTGTCAAAGTGAACAGAGATATGTGACAGTACATGGAGTGATAACCATGAAAGAAGGAAATTGTTACTATAGGAGAAGAGAAAATAATTGTAGGAAAAATGGTCCAGGTGCACTCAAAATAAAAGGAATTTGATAAAATCTGATACAAGTTCAAAGAAATTGGTAGTTTGGGTATTGGAAAGCAAAAAGAGTTTCAGTCAATTTCTATTTCCCATGTCCCACGTGTCAAGCTCCTCATCCAGAGTATAGGAAGAGGAGGAGACATCAGAATCTGGAGAAGAAATAAGATGGTAAATATTTGTTTAGGAGATAGGAAATATGTTCATATTATGAAACTGTTCTAGGAAATCTCTGAAATGATTATGATGTCTGCATGTAAAATTAAAAATTCCAAACCATGTTTGAGGAAGTCCGAGAATATTCTAATTTTTCCAATGATCACTACTTTGAAATTTTTTGAAAAATAAAATATTAAATTCTTTCCTGTTCTAAAACATAATTCAGTGCCCCTACTATGTTTGTTTTCTAACCATTCTCTCTCTAATTTTATTATGCCTTTCTGAAAGAAGGGAGAGAAAYTGACAAGAACATAAAATGATCACCTGTCTTGAAAGAAGAGGGTCACATGGGACAAAAAAACACACAGAAAACAGGAGACAGGGATGATAAGAAACACCTTCTCCCACCCATCATTTACTTAGGGTCACTTTAGAAAATGTGGTTTCAGCCATGCCACATTTAGTAGGAAGAAATATTTGAGGCCATTCAGTTAAAGTAGAATTGATAGTACCCCACAGGCTGATTATGAGACTAATGCCAATGATAATGCCATCAGCTGATTTTGGTGCCCCTTACAAAAGTAGAGGCAAGAGAGATAATTTGTAGTGGAAAATATGAACAATTTGGTTGTAAAAAACAGCTATAAACAAATTAACTATAAATTGACTATCAGTAAATTGAAAATACAGTAAGTATATGGAATTTTATTGAAAGGAATGAATATATTTAGAAACACAAGAGGGCACTTTATTAAAAACATAATTAGGTACAGATTGGCACTGTCAATTTAATGCATTTAAATATTCATGCATAATTACTAGGTGTCAGGTACTCTGCTAGATTCTGAGTACATTCAATTTTGTGGAACAAAGTTGTGCTCTCTCCGAACTAAAATTAAAACTTACTATAACATTTGCTTGGTATGATCAGAAGCAATACCAAGCCATCTACACCATGTGTGTCTACTCAGAGAGCTTGCCTATGTCTAATTCTCAACAACCGGCATTCTAGTTCTGGTTTGTTAGTGAGGTATAGGATTGTTAGTGAGATGCAGGAAGCAAGGACGGTCTGGGTCTGTTTCTCACCTGTAAAATGAGAGCTTTGGATGAGATGTCCTTGGAAACTTCTAGAAAGTCCAGCTCAAAAAGAATTTATATTTTGGTTAGCATTATCTGAGTACTCGCCTATAACTCTGATGAGATGACCTGTCTCCCAAAGCCAGGCAATGCTCAATGGAAGTAATTATGTAATTTGCCTGTTGCTGATAGGAGGTTAAGAATAACAGGAACCAATCTTCAACACAGAAGATGAAGGAGGAAGAGGAGAAGAAGAAATGAAAAGAACAGGCATCATATTTCAGTTGTGTTTCTTTAAGACAACTCTGTAAGGTAGAATTTGTTATCATTTCTACCTTAGAAGTGAAGAAAACAACCTTACAGAGATTATAGCATCTGCTGAGTAAGATACTCAGGTCTTCTGATCAAAGTCCAGATGCCCTACACTGAACCCAGTATAGCAGGTCACCTTTTCTGTCCACAATATGGACTCACAGAGAAATAGTTTATATTAGTCAAGTGTTTTCAAAGAATGTTTTAAATTCAAAAGCCCAAGGAATAAAAAGAAAAAGATTAAATTATGTGTTTGTAATCTGCTTCCAAATCCAACCCCCACATTAACCTTCTAAGAAGAAAGGATTATTTGCTGTCTTGTCAGCCTAAGGGACTTTCTTGTGCCTCTTGAAGGAGAGAGAAGAAAGGACAATTGGAAGATGCCAAAAGAGTATCAACTGCTCTATATGAGAAACGTGACCTAAGGAAAAAGAATTGTCAGCAAGTTGTGAATCTTTTAAAGTCTGGAGTATGAAGGATTTGAAATCAATATATCTATGTATCCTAGATGTATCATAGTATCCTATGGCATGGGGTGGGGGTTGAGTAGAGAAATGAGTTAAGGATTTAAGTAAATTTTTATTAAAACTGGCCATAAATCAGCCCCATTTCATTTAAATTACTCATAAAACAAGCCAAGATGCTCAGCGGAGGTGTACAAAGGCATAAAATAAACTGCTTCCATGGGAAGCCATTCCTCTTGCATCTTTGCAAGTACTTTAATATTTTAAAGTAGTAATTAATGCAATTAGAATCAGGCAGAGTTCTAAACACAGGCAGATGCCTACTTACCAAGTTAGGAGACTGCCTTCCCCCAAATACCTCCTCCAACATTTTCTATTACTTAAGACATCATGAACAGGGAATATAAATTTTTGTTTCACAATTAATGTAAAGAATTAATTGAGTCTTCTACAAGAATTGCCAACTCTGTCAATGTGTGCATTCAATTTTATATTTAAATTTACTATGTGTAATGATATGTCAATGAAGGCAAACCATCTTTCTACCGCACTTAACTTGGGAAGGCTAAAAATTTGATGATATTGAATTTAGATTAACTTCACAAAAACTTAGATGCTTCTATTAGTATAAGGAAAAAATGGAACATAAAAATATGATTATTTTTAAAATATGATTATTATTTTCATATAATTTTATAATTTGAATTCTAAATGTCTACCAATTTGTGTGCTCTGTGTGTGCTTGTGTGTGTGTGYGTGTGTGTGTGTGTGTGTGTAAAATATTCATTTGGCATATGATAATACACTAGATAGCTGGGATAGAACAAAACAGTAAGGAAAATATAATTATGAAAATTAAGTGTATTCAAAGGAGAATACTCTAGGAAAGAGAAAAATACTATGGTAACAAGTTACAAATGAGTTGAGTTGGCCAGTAAATTTATTAAATCTAAATTTAGAATGAAAAATAATTTCAAATTGTATGTTTTCAAAGGGCAGTGATAACTGAAGATCCACAGCTCTCCAAAATGAGAAGGAAAAGAAGAAGAGGCTATAAAAAAAAGAAAGCATTGAATACCACAGTATGTAAGTTCCATTTGATGCTTTTGTAAGTATGTAAAAGTTTAACTACCACCTTATGCACTTTGTTCTTTACCACAGGGATGTCTATAATATAAAATAGGAAGAAAAGTACTTATAAATATTATAGGATGATTTTAAAGTTTGGTCTATTATTATCATATATACAATTCTGCATTAATTATTAATGTTAGGTGTTGTGATAATAAAAATTAAATAAAAATATTTACTTATTGAGACATAGAATATTAAGACCACCAACCTTAGAGTTTGTCATCAGTGCATCTTTATATTGTTTTTTCAGTTCTATCTTCTTGCTTGCATATATTAAGAATAGTCAATTGAAGGGGGCTATACAATTGGAAGGGGCTATATATATATATATATATATATATATATATATATATATATATATTGAACTGTTCTTGGCATAAAGGTGTTATTTTAAGAATGAACTATAATCTCCAGTTCTGGAAGGCAGTCCTTCAGCTTATAAACCGTTATCATGGCCATGCTCTGTCATAAATGTACTTTAGAGAAATTGTCTCTGTGTCTTTTCTCCCATGACTTCCACATTACAACTTTTAGATTATAACCAGACCCACTAGAAATTGTTTCGGTACTTACCTAGAGAGAAGCCCTTCTGTCAGACTAGAAAACAGACAAATGGGAATGATTATACTCTCCAAATAATTCTATTATACTTGATTTTTTTCTTCTCCTGCTGAAGAGAATTTATTTATTTACTCTCTGTATGCATACTTACATAAGTATTTATACAAAATATTTAACTATATATAAAATTATGCTTAATTTGATAACATTTAAATAAAATTTATAAATGATCGTTTCTAATTTTTAAACTTCATCAGATTATTAAGAACCACCTTTTGGTCACCTAGTTTATCAATTTCTATGGCATCATTATTTACTTGTTGCCCATTCTTCTTTCTTTTCCTTAATAAATAACCTCCTTGAGATGTTTAAAATAGAATGTGAGATCTTTTTGTTTTTCCCCGCTGTGTTTTACATAAGGTACCTTGATTTCAGCTTCACAAATTTCTCACAATTTCAACTTTAAAAAGCAGAGAAGCACAAGTTGCAGGCTGACAATCCTGAAGTCAAAGCTGGTTTCTACATATTTTTGGTCCCCACCTGAAAAGAGGTGTTTTTTTTTTTTATTTGATCCAACTCTTAGAAATTAGGAGGACTTGCACAGTATAATAAAACCAGAATCTTATTCTGTCCTGGGAAATGAGAAGATGTAGTAATACCAGGATCCCTTCTCACATGTCCGCTGTTGATTGGAACTCAATTGCAGAGGAAGTACATCTATCCTGCTTCACCTGTTGATGTCCTGGGAATTGGAGTTCAAAATAATATCCCATAAAAGGCATGGGACAAAGGATTCTGTCAGACATGTTTGAAAGGTTGCCTGGAAACCATACTTGGCTCTTTTTGATCCTCATCACTCACATCTTCATTAGTGGCACTATCTCAACTTATATGGAGTTCAATATAGCCTGTAACATAATGCCATGTTCAAATACCTGATAATGGCAACTTGCTCTTTATTAAGAAGTTGCATTTAAAAATTACTTGCATACATTTCTTTTGAAATTTTCACTTCACCCACTTTGGGAAGTTGTTTTTGAGTAAAGCTTAATTAAATTATTATCTCCTAAAACTAACAGGTGATATTATTTATTCTGAGAATTAAAAATAAATACTTACTAGAAGTGAACTTTTGTGGAAAATAAATTGATATACTAGAAATGGATGAAAAATATTAATTACACCACAAAAGAATATAAAGGATATAAAAAGATATGCATTATGTTTCATCTTGTTTAAATGTTTTTTTTCTTTTTTTTCTTCTTCTTCTTTTAGGTACATCTCAGTCTTCTGGTCAAGCATGCCAAAAAAATACAGAAGAACTTGAAAAGGAAGTCAAAGGAGATACCTCAAAAGCTGCGTTTCATCAGACTGGTGTATTAAGGAAATCTAAGGAAAACAGAGACGAGCATACATCTGCTTCTGTGAACCRAAAGCAAAATCTCTCTTTTCTCCCTGAAGAAAAGAAACAACCTCCATCTGACAGCAAAATAGGTAGGGGGGAAGAAAATGATGATCCTTCTTTGGCCATCTCTCACCAGCTAAAGAAAGCATTACCGGTGGTGGTCATGTTTAAAGATGGTGAAGAATCATTATCAGGAAAAATTACACTACAGGATTTCCCAAGCACAGTAAAAAACTGTGAAGCAGAAAACGGAAAATTTATTACAGAAGTGAAATGTGGGGCTTTCAATGTGCAAGTAGAAATCAAGAAAAGCATTTTCTGTAAAACAGGAGCACAGTTCCCAACAAAAAAGGTATGTCCAACATGTCACCAGCCGTTCTCTGCCAGGTTTATTAGGAGATGTTACACATTTAGGAGATGCTTTCCTAAACACAATAATACACTGGCAGAAAAAATAAAACCTGAGGTGTCATCTAAACAGGGGAAACTTGCCAGAACTGAGAGCCCCTCATTGAAAGTAAGCATTGTAGGAAAAGAAATTAAGGTTAAATACATAAGTAAGAAACAGAATGTAATAATTAACATAACTCATCCTAAAAGAAGGGGAAAAATAACCAAATACAGAACCATTCCCTCCAATCCCACCACTAAAGAAAGTTTCAGGTCTCCTTTGCAATCTGATATTAAGTACCCTGAAAAGCAGCAGCTTGAAAAAAAGCACCAGAGTTCAGGGGCCTCTCCGTCTGTTGAGTGCACCATTCAGAAGGAGAATTCTGACACAGTTCTGGTTTCTTTAACCTCAACTCCCAAAAGAGAAAAAAATAAGTCTGATACACTATCTTCAGTCTCAGATGATTCTGAGGGAGAATCTGCCATCTTTCAGCAGAAGGCTTTTAAAATTAGTCAGAACAACCCCAAGAAGAAACATTTCTCTGGAGCTGATGCTCTTCAGAAAAACATTCTTCCTACTTCACATGATACTCCAGAGACCACACGTTTAAATAATACACACTTAAGTAAAACACCTTTTGAGGATCCTAAGGATGTGGATAAAGAGAGAAAAAACAACTCCGCTGTCCCAGAAAATATCACACCAGAGTCACATACACAGCAAAGCACAGATGGAACAAATCATTTGCTAAGTACCGTTACCARCATCATTCCCATTCAAGATGTCTCAGACTCTGACTTTTGTTCTCTGTCTTCTCTAAGCATTCAGCTTTTGGGAGAAAAGGCCACTAGTATCTATTGCAAAGGAAACAAAACTTCATCCACAGAAAGCTGTGAGAACTCAAATTCTAAATCTTTCTCCTCCAGTCAAAATGCTCTGAAGTCTTCTACCTCATTCAGTCCTTCTCACTTGGCCACCAGACATTTAGAACCCAAAGAATCCCTTGGGCATACATTTTCCTTTAACCACTGTGCTGAATTTGTGATAGACCATGAGAAAGAGCATGGTGATATGACTGAAACAGACATTAAAAAAGCCATTATACATGGTGACTCTTGTGCAAACACACAGCAACTGTTGGAAACAAAGAGTACACAGAGTCCAATCCTCGTCCCTGCATCCTGCAGCAGCCTAGCTGTTGAGGATTCACTTCACAATATTGGCCACACCACTGTTGAATGGGATCAAACAGAAGCCCAGAAAAATCATCCAGAGACAGTAGCCCCTAGCAGAACAAAAGTGTCAGTCATGAGCTTCATAACTGATAAGTTCGAGCAAAGATTAATTACTCAAAATGATAAAGAACACACAGTTGATTCTAATTGTCCCTTGGGAATGAGAACCCCCAAAGAGTCACCCAGCTTTTTGGAGAATATTGAAAAAGAAAAACGCCAACTAATACCAGTGATAATGAATGCATGCCACCGAGATTTTGAAGACCTACCCAGTGAGAATCATGATGAAAACTGTTTTAAAATGGACTTTCCACCAAACACTGCTGAGTCCAGCTACAAAGTGTGTGTGACGGATAAGCTGTTTCTTATACAGAAAACATTAAACAGTGATGCAGACCAATGTGGTAATCAAGACAAAGAGAGCCTTGAATTAACCAGTTTTCAACAGGAGCCAGGGGAGTGCCAAAGAATTGCATTAACAAGACAAGATTCTGAAGGAGGTAAGGACAAAAATGACTCAAAGGAAAACTACTATCATCAAATAGACATATTGCTGTCTCCCCAGAAGCAAAAGGCGTTGAAAGGTACAGTGGCTATACAGAATCTTTAACTTTCATTATTTTTATTGAATCTTGGAAAGTCTTAAGGGTAAGGTTTTTTTTTTTTTAATTGCTTGGGATTTTTTTCTTTTTTTGTCCAAGATAGAGTATTATAGAGTTATATGTACATGAACAATCATATATCAGCTTGCTTTTTTACATTATAATCCACTCCACCCATAAATAGTGCATAGAAAAATCACCAATGCTAGAGTTTAATATAAAGTTAAAAAAAATCAATTTCTCTTTAAGAAGTTGATGTATTGCCAGATCAATTTGTAGGAAATGTTAGCCTCTTGCCACTCTTAAATAATCCACCATATTGTTTCTTCTTGCAAGCTAAGCATGTTTAAAAGAATGGGAAGAATATGTTTATAATAAGCACTGTTTTAAAACCTTGCTGTGGCATTACAAACAGAATTATAGATGTCTCAGGAGGAAGTGTGGAATAGCAATTAAAGCAAAGGACAAAAACCAGAAACAATCAGGGCTAATACAAACTGAGACATCCAGGAGGCCTTTGACTTCCAGGAGACCTCTGGTCTCCCTTGTGCATTTGGCTGGCCCTGCTCAAACCATTGATAGAACCCAGAAGCTCTCCAGTCCTCAAGAAGGGCTAAGATGGAAGCTCTTTTCTAATTACATAATACTCTCTGTCTGTTTTCAATCTTGGATCATCACAATATTCCTTTTGTCACCTTATAAAAGACCCTTGTTTTTTTCAATGAGTCCTAATTATTTTATATTTATTATTATCATTATTCCATATTGTAAATTAAAATACATCTTGAATGGGTAAAAATTGCCTTCCAAGCTGCAGATAACAGGGGTTAAGGATATAGTTCAGAGGCAGAGTGCTTGTCTGGTACACAGAAGATCCTGAGTTCAATCCTCAGCACCAATAAAAAAAAAGTAAGTAAATAAGGAAGCTAACTGACCAATTACACTCTGCAGATGCTCAAAAATAAGATTTGGAATGTTAACACTTACTGGAGAAGCTATCTTTTCTTTGTTGTTTTTCTAAATTTGTGAGTTAATGATTAATCAAAATTTTAAAATTTTTATTAAGAATAGAAACATAAAAAAGCATAATTGCATAAATGTTAGCATAAAATGTGAAATTTGTTTTGTAAACAAATAAATGATTTAAAACAATGCAAAACCTCTGAGTCACCTGCATGATATGAATAACCTCAAGCAAAGATTATCTATCACAGCTACTGTTTCCCAATGCCAGTATAACTCCAGATATCAGGATCAATGACATCAATTCCAACATTTGCTTCAGTGCCTAGTTATTGAGAACTGAAAAAGAAGCATGTAATAAGAGTACTTGTGTGTTTACCTGGATGAATATCTCTGAACAACTCTTTCATCCAGAGGCATGCTCATCCTTGTGCTTTCTCTCCTAACAAGACACATTTCCTTAAAACAATCAGTAGTCCAAGCCAGAATCTACCCAAAACTGAGATAACCCTTCAAAAAACTTAGAAATTGTCCCATTTGGTAAACAATTCCAGCCATTGGTTCCCTGTGTAACTATAGTTCATCAAAAGGTTGTTCCTACAGCTCTCTCCCTTGATCTTTAACTTCTCTTCCCCTTAGTAATTCTGTTTCAGCCACATTGACCTACCTGAGTTTCTAGAACCTTCCAACCAATATCCCACCTCAGGCTCTTTGCATGTACTACCTAGACCAGTCTTTCTCCACATGTCCACAGGTTCAGTCTCTCTGCTCACATAGCACAATTTCAGTAAGCCCTTCTCAGACCATTGAGTTTAAAATTTCAGTTTGATTTGTTCCAGCCCAGGCAAACTCTATCCCTCTTCCATGTTTTACTTTCATACATAGCACTTTCACCTTCTAATATGCTGTATATTTTACTGGTTTATTTTGTTTATGTTCTATTTTCTTCAATGAGAATGTCAACTTCATGAAGGCATGGATTTTTTCTCTTTTAATTATTGGTATAGCCACAGCATTAGACAATGCCTGTCCTGTAGTGTACAAACTCAATGAATATTTTGTAGAACAAATGCAGAGAAGTTGTATCAGGTTTCTTTATGCAATTCCCTGTTCACATACCTACGCTTGTGTGTATGTGCAAACACATATACCCACACACAAACACATACTCTCAGCAGGATAAAAATTCAGCAATTAAAATATTTGCGGAAAAGCTGTTTAAATATATAAATCTATAAATGTTTGCATGTATTTGATTCTCCTAGAGTTATGAGTATCTTTTCATCTTATTGAACAAAATTATAAGTATACTACTGTTACCTCAGGTCAGGACTGAATAAACTTATCAGGCTGCGAATTGCTTTGAAGAATCTGGACACCTTTGGGCTATTGTACCATAAATCATAAATTTGATATAGGCACAAACTTACATCTACCTTTTCAAACAGGCTTTCTAACTCTTCAGAATCTATCCATGTTGTAACTCAGGTTAAGAATCCCTGACATGAGTGCTGACTGTAATATTTATGTTGTGTCTTCCAACGTGTATTGTATTTGGGAATTAACTAGAACGCAAGTTACAAACTAGACTATCTACAGGAGTCAGACAGGCAACGTAAATGAGTAAAACAGGCTGTGTGTGAGAAAGTGAGGAATGTTGGCAAAACAGTGATCTAAGGAAATGACAGTGCAGTCTAGTACATCCAGACCTTCTGACTTTTCAAGATACCTGGAGATGTGGATTTTTTCACATGTGAATCTCCATACTATAAAATTTGGAAGACACAGTGCAAGTTAAACAGTATGCCACCTCTGAACTTGATAAATGAGAGGAGATAGGTGTGGGGTGTGGCAGGAGGCAACAGAGCCAGCATAATGTTAAGGAAAGGATTTCCTTCTGAATCTATTATATCTTAATACTGCGTTCTTCCTCTGATTGTGTGTTTGTGGCATTAAAAAAAATACTTGCTCAAGGATTGATTTTTTTTTTCATTTTTAAATGAACTGAAATATAAGATCTAAACCAAAGAACTAGAAATTCTATATCATAAAAAATTTTTAATGAGGAAACCAAAACTAAGCAACCATGAGAAAATGACAGATAATTAGAAGTATTAGGTGACATTTTATATGGCATAAGACATATTCATAACTAAATGGGCATTTATATGTAACATGACACAAAACTTATATGCAATGAATAAGATATTTTATTGCCCTGTACCTCTTAAAAGGAACAGTTGCAGGGGCTGGGTTGTGGCTCAGTGGTGGAGTACTTGCTTCACAGAGGTGAGGCACTGGGTTTGATCCTCAGTACCACATAAAATAAAGGTATTCTGTCCATCTACAACTAAAAATATTTTTTTAAAGGAGCAATTCCAAGAGCCCATACTGAAGCAAAAAGGTGTAAAAGACTACAGATCAAAAAAGTTTGGGATCTCAAGCTCTGCACCACGCTGTCATATATAAATAAAAATAAATAAATAAAAATTTTAAAAAAAGATTTACAATAAAAAAAGAATAAAAAGATGAAATGAAAATTACTCTTTTCCTTGCAGAAGCCTATAAATGTTGGGATAATATTCAACAGATTGTCAGGGTGAAACTGGGATCTTTCCATACATGTGCATATTTCAACATTTCTTGGTCCATGAACAAACACAGGTGCCTGGTCCAGCTGCAGTGCTTGTGGTTTCCTCCAGCAGGGCTCCTCCCAGATCTGCATCTTTTTCTTGGTCTTCTCACACACTTCCTGTGCCTTCCTCTGGCTTTTAAGGTAGTAGCTTCCACCCTTACAATCATACTTGGGATTTAGTCCATTCATGCTGCTATAGCAAAATGTCAGTGATTACATAATTTATTTCTTATGGTTCTGGAGGCTGACAAATTCAAGATTACAGTGTCAGCATTTGGCATCTGGTGAATATTCTTGCTGCTACCAAGATGAAACCCTGTTGCTTTCCTCCCATGGCCCAAGGCAGAGGGTATAAAAAGCCTAACTAGTCCCCTTTAGTTCTTTCAAAGGATATCAATACCATTCATGAGGTCAAAGCCCCAGAGTTCATTATCTCTTAATACTACCACATTTGTTCTTAGGTTCCAACGTAGGAATTTTGAAGAGACATATATCTTCAACGATAGCACTTAATAGAACTTTTGTGTTTTTTTWAAAAACACAAAGTGACAGTGCATATTTTAACAGAGCCCCTCAAGAGACTTAAGTCCCTGCATTCCAGCCCCAGAAAATTGCCTGATTCCAAGGCTCAAAAATATCTACAGTGTATTCATGGAATCAGGAATAGACACACAAGTGAATGAAAATTATTGAGGTATAGACTCAATGCAAATTGCAAAACCTTTCTAACAAGTTTTAGTATACAAGGATTAGGCTGACTCACACATAATAAGTTTGAGTCTAGGAAGTATTTAAGCTTAGACTGAATGACTACTTGGTAGAAATTTTGTAGAAGTGTTTTGAGCTGTAGAGGGTGGTTGAACCATATCACATCTATGTTCTGTACAAAACAGATTTAAAATTCCCAAGCTGGACAACAGCAGTGATGCTTATACTTTGTAAGTTGTTCAGAAATTCTCAACTTACATTTCAAAACATACTATAGGGCATATACTTTCTCCTAATTTTAGTGTATAAGAAAGTCCTAGAGGGAGATTTCCCTTATATGCAATGCATAAGGTATTTTATTGATATCTGTCATCACAAGCAAAGATCTATATCACACACCATTCCCTAGGCTCATAGGACTTCTTTTTCCCCAGCAATATTTGATATTAGAAAATACTCCCTTTCATGGACACCTTCATTGTCATCATGAGCTCTTAATCTTTTTTTTTTTTTTTAAGAGAGAGTGAGAGAGGAGAGAGAGAAGAGAGAATTTTTTTTTAATATTTATTTTTCAGTTCTTGGCGGACACAACATCTTTGTTTGTATGTGGTGCTGAGGATCGAACCCGGGCCGCACACATGCCAGGCAGGCGCGCTACCGCTTGAGCCACATCCCCAGCCCATGAGCTCTTAATCTTAACAAATGGCATAACTTGAAGAAACTTTGGGAAAAAATACCTGGTGGTCATTTTGTAACATTTTTAAAAGATCCAGTACTGTAATATTCCAGAAGGTGAAAGTTTTCCTGTTCATTGTTAAGGTCCTAATAACCAGTACAACAAAAATTAAAATGAAGAAAGAACTAAAAATTACAGAATAAAGGCAATTTTGCTGTCATTCTTTCTTTTCCCAAGAAAGAGATAAGAGTCAACAACAAAGTTATGGAAAACTAGGTAAATTCAATAATGATCCTTTCCCATTCCCATCTGTTTAGCCCTGTTTAGCCCTGACAAATGAATTGAAATTGTAATAAAAACAAATCCTTAACAATCATATATATAAATAAAGAATGCTATTTATTTAATGTCTATCCCATTTATCATTTAAATAGTTCTTAGAACAATTTTTTTTTATCATTTAAATAGTTCTTAGAACAAATTTTTATATTAATAAATTTCATTTTTACAGAGACCAAATTGTAACACTCATTTGCTGCTAGGAACAAAGTAAAGATAAAGGTCCAGAGTTGGCCTCTTTTAAAATCTATGTTGTAAAATCACGTGAAGTTTTAATAAGTTCTAATATATAAAATATCTTTCTAGGTATTATGTGTTCTCCTATTTGGTTTTCTTTTTATTGTGCCTTTTCAGTTTTCATTTTAAAGTTGACTGTATTGTGGTCATTTATTTGAATTTTTATCCTTCTTATAGTACACAGTATCTTTGTTTGTGATGACAAATATCAATAGTTTGTAACTGTATAAAGTATCTCAAGTTGTTATTTATACAAATGTAAAGTTAACAATGCCTTCACATATTTATGAATTTTTCTTTTCATCATTTTGAACTAACATACACAGCAGGAAAAGTAACATGATTAATAGAATTCAAACCATAAGTACTAGAGTTCAGCAGTTAACTCATTGTCCTGGCTTATAATTTAACTAATTCAGGTAATAATATCTTCTTATTGAGAATTTAGCATATACATTTTACAAATTGTACTTTGCCCCTCCATGGTAATTAGTATAGAATTGTTGATACTCTCTTGAATTGAATCTACCTAAAGCAAAGTTTGGTGATCTGCCCTTTTCCAATGTAAGTCTATTTTTTTTTAAGCTGCGTAGTATGCATTTTTCCCTCTCTCTCTCCCTCTCTCTATGTTATACAAGTTTAGTAAATGAATCATAAAGAAATTAAATGTTTTAGTTCTGATCTACTGTGATTGTGTTTCACATTTTATCTTGAAATATTGTCTAACTTTCATACTCTATGTGGTTTAATCTAGATCAGAATTTGGAAATCAGTAGCCTGGGAAAGTTTTCCCAGGAGTCAGCTTTAAGAGGTGGAAGAGCCAGTGATGGTTCCCAGGAAGAAGCAATAGACCAGTGGGCCAGGAGGAGGCAGCAATTCAGAGAAGGCAGAAGATGCAATTCAACAGGAGGGAGCTCATTCACCAGCAACATCACGGAAGGATCCAGTGAGTAGTCAGCTCCTTGTCCTCAGCAAAGGCAGCAGTTTACTGAATCTTAACCAGACTCCCCCATCCAGTTGCTTTTATCTGCAAACATAAACTACTGTTTGAACATGGCAACATGGTGATTATAAGTTTTAATATGAATGGCATTTGTGGAATAATCAACTCTCTGTTATCCATTAAGAAATCCTTCCTTTGTAAATTATCTTCTTTAGAAAGTACAACTGCCTGCTAAGGTACATTTTCTCTTTGTAGGAAAAAAAAAGCCATTTATAGGGGTTTTTATGAAATTAAATGTGTGTCCTACTTCAAGGAATTTGTATTGGTTTAAAAAGTATGTATACTGCAAAAGGATAAGATAAACACATTTGATTATAAGTAACAAGTTTAATGTTCTATCTGAGGTGCATGTGGTAATGCAAATCAAAACTACTCTAAGACTTGATCTCACTCCAGTCAGAATACAAGCATCAATAAATTTTGGTGAGGATGTGGGGGAAATGTATACTTATACATTGCTGGTGGGAATGCAAATTGATGCAACCATTATGGAAAGCAGTATGGAGATTTCCTCAGAAAACTTGGAATAGAACCACCATCAGCTACCCCATTGCTTGGTTTATACCCAAAGGACTTAAAATCAGCACATTACAATGACACAGCCACATCAATGTTTATAGCAGCTCAACTCACAATAACTAAACTATGGAACCAAACTAGTTGCCCTTCAACACATGAATGGATAAGAAAATGTGAGATAAGCACACACACACACACACTCAAAATGGAATATTACTCAGCCTTAAAGAAGAATKAAATTATGGCCTTTGCTGGTAAATAGATGGAGCTGGAGAATATCATGCTAAGCAAAATAAGCCAACCCTAAAAAAAAACAAAGGCCAGATGTTTTCTCTTAAGTGCTGATGCTGATTCACAATGGCAGGCAGCACTGCTTTAGGGAATAATAGTATTACTTAAAATTAGATAGAGGTGAGTGAAAGGAGGGGAAGGGATATGGGGACAGAAAAGATAGTAGAATGAATCAAACATTATTACCCTATGTACATGACCAGTGGGATTCTACATCATGTACAACCAGAAGAATTAGAAATTATACTCCATTTATGTATGATGTATCAAAGTGCAGTCTACCGTCATGTATAACTAACTAGAACAAATAAAAAAATAAGTAACACATTTTCTTCTGTTAACATTTCTGAAATGAGAAATATCTTTAAATGGATGTGCATTTTAGTGAGATACTGTTTCTCTTGCTATTGACAGTCCGTTTTTAAAATCAGTGGATACTTCAGTCCCTGAATCAATAGTAAATGACAATGGAAGATAGAACATCATTGAGAAAACTCAACTCAAGTGAAAATCCACATTGAAAAAAATAGAGAGGGATTAGTTCATTTAGTTACACAAGAAAGAGGTAGGAAGGAAGGGATGGAAGGAGGGAGGGAAGAGGTAGGGAAGAGGAAGGGATAAAAAAGACAGAACAGCATTGTGATACAGAGAATGACTTCAAGAAAAAGCAGTAGTGAGTGTCCTAGGTCCTGACTTACAGACAGGCTGATGTGATGACACCAGTATAGTTCATGAAGGTAGTGGGAGAACTTATCAAGATGAAGTTGAAGTGTTGGCACAGGCTAGAGCTGAAAATGTAGGGGGAACAATTACAATTATTTTAAATAACCAAACATTGTGCTCTATCATTATCAGCACATGTGAGCAATGAGGAATGTAAGTTGAATGTTCTATTTTGCCCTGAGACTTTATGTTCTTTTCCCTTGATCAATGTCTGGTTTTTTCCTAGTTCCTTCTTATTTGGCAGCAAGAACTCCCCAGGATCTGAAATCCTAAATTTTTATTTTCAAATTTACTGCAATGTAAGGTTCTTTTAGTGTCATTTATTATCCATATACCATTAAATACATTCCTGGAGAATATACCTTTTTTGTTAGACTTCCAATAAAATAACCATACTGCTTCACATTTGTTCTAATATTCATGTCTTTCTACTACCAGCCTACCAGCCCCTTATCAACTGTTGTATTTATATTCTAGAATTTGGTACAGATTTTTAAAAATATTTTAATAATAAATTAGATATTTCATTAACTTTTCCTCATCATTGCTTATTGTATTAATTACTTCAAACAAAATTTACTTTATATTTCTTGTTATAATAATTCTTCTAATAACATTTTCAGGGAAATTCTGTGGGAAATGAGCTGGATCCTTATATATCTGAAAATGTATTCACTTCCATCTTAATTATAAGGGATAGCTTGGCATAGTTTGATGTAGAATTCTAGGTTCAAATTATGGAAGAAACTGGCTCATTGTTGTCCTCTAACTATGGTGCTAATGAGAAGTCTAAGTCCAATCTGATTCTTACAACTTTTGTCATTAATACACATTTTTTTTGTTTTTAGTATCTTTTAAGGGTTTCTCTTTACTCTTGGTTTTCTAAAATTTTTCTATGCACCCAGTGTGTGTAGTTTAAATATCTGTCTCCTGCTTGGCATTCCATGGGATCTCACATGTTCATAATTCATTCTTTTTTTTTCATATATTTCTTTAAGCCTTGTAAATTCCCAGAGATTTTTTTCAAATATTCACTTTGTTTTCTCCTCTTTTATATGTCCTACTTGCACTCCCTTCCGCTGGTCATTAACTTTTGCAATTATTCTCCATGTGCCTTAATTTTTCCTTTGTACATCTCCTCATCTTTTTCTTTCTTTCTTTCTTTTTTCTTTTTTTTTTTTCTGTACTGAGAGAATTCCTTAGCTCTATCATTCAATTTAGTAATTCACTCCTCACCTAAGTCCTCCCTGCTCTTTAGCCTATTTTTTTAACTTTAAAAATCTGAGCAATTTTATTTCTAATTTAAAAAAATCTCTATGCTGTTCTGAAGTTTTTATTGTTCTAATTCTTATACCTTTGAGAATATTATTTTATATAAAGTTTTAATCTAATTGTTCTATCAATTATTTCCTCAAATGCACATTCTGATTATGGATTTCAGGTATTGCCAATTTGTGGCATAATGAGAATTTCCTTCTTATTTTTAAACTCATCTATAGATCTTATAAAACACACACACACACACACACACACACACACACACACACACATGTATACACAACCTCTATCTCCAAAACATTTATCTCCTGTTTGATATCTTGCTGGATTTTGAAATACCTCTTTCCTTTATTATGCATAAAAATTCAGTTGCCACTCTTGCTTCTAAATATGTGTAATCAAACTTATTATAGTATTCATAAAAGACTCTGCAGGAATTAGGACTTACCCACACATATGTTTTTCTAGCATTTCTATCAAAATAGGACACTGTGATCTATCCTTGTTCCACTGTCTAAAAATCATCTCTGAGAATTGCTTCTATTTACCCCTCTGGATTTCTTTTCTGCCCTTCTTACCTTTTTCTCTGGCCCAGTAGTCTCATCTCTTTGACCTATATCAAAGGCCTGTCTGACTTTCTGTTGAGTTCTAATGAGGGAGATCAGCAGGGGCCTAGAGGGAGTGAAGAGGGTGAGGTCTTGGAAAAATTGCTCCTGATCTCTCCCTGTGAGATGCCAAAGGCTGGCTGACTCTAAAGCCACACTCCCATAGAGTGACCCTCTTCACACTGTCTTCAATGGCTCTGTGTTGTGGTAAAGCTACCTGCTCCTTCCCCTATCATTTTTGTCTTAGACAAACTCTTCTTATTCTCAAGACTATGACATTTGATTTCCTTAAATCCTGTCCACACTTTTGAATAGTGTTTTTATTAAATTCACCTCAGGTATTCATTCGAGTGTACCATCTTTTTCATGCCATGACCCTATGATGCACCAGTACTCTTCTCTGTTGCTGTTGAATGCCATGCCTTCAAGTATCACCAAAACATCTACCAATAAGTCACTTACTGCCTACAGAGAAAAGGGTCATCCACTCAACAGAGCTTTGATAATGCCTCAGAGTGAAATAGGCAAAGTTGGATTTCAATAAGAATTAAAAACTTGATTTAATGTGGGTGTTTCAATATGAGAGGTTCATTAGAATTGAGTCAGGGTCATGAATTAACAGTTTAAGAGTAGTGGAAATGGTAAGGCAAGGCTTTTAAAGATTTCAAAGAATCTGAGAGAATAAACTATTTGTTGGTCCTTTTCCCTGAAAAGTTGATGACTTTTTTTTTAAGTTCCTGTAATAAAGTGTTTGCCTGTCACCAGTCTCTTGGAAGAGCAAAATTGTGCTTAGCCTGTGGAATAAGGTCACACTAATTAAGAAAGGAAGACATATGATAGTGGGAGGTTTATGTTTTCAGTGTCCAAATAATGAGATAGAAGTTTTGTTCTCAGTGTACTCTAATCTTCTCTAAATAAATACATGACATTTTATTAAGACTGATGCCCCAAACTGGATTTTCCAGAGAGCAATGAAAATCTTTTTTTTTCAAATGTTGTAATTAGTTATACATGACAGTAGAATGCATTTTGATACATCATACAACAAAAGAGCATAACTTCTCATTCTTCTGCTTGTACATGATGTAGAGTTACACCAGTTGTGTAATCATATATGCACATAGAGTAATAATGTGCAATTCATTCTACCATCATTCTTACCCCCATATCCCTTCCCCTCCTTCACTCTCCTCAATCTAATCCAAAGTACATCTATTTTTTCCTAGACCCCCCCGCCCCTTATTGTGAATTACCATTCACATATCAGAGAAAACATTCAGACTTTGGTTCTTTGGGATTGGCTTATTTCACTTAGGATGATAATCTCTAGAGAGCAATGATCTTGAACTGCCATTTTTATTTTTTATTTTTTGGTTTTGTGTCTGATAGACTTTCTATCTTTGAACATATTATGTCTCTTCATGTACGAATACAAATCTTGTATTATGTATGCAACTGCTATATTAATTGACATTGATCCTATGTTTCTAGGTCCTGCAAGACTATATCACACAAAATTAAAAGTAA